ACACGCAGATTCAAATTAGACCTCGCCATCCCTGGGGGGCTGTCTGCGAAACTGTCGCCACTTTCGAGGGCTGCTGGTGGGTGAGGCCTGCTGAGAACTGCTGCGATCTGCGAAACTTTCGAGGGCTGCTGCGGATCCAGCGGAGTGAGGCACTGCGCGCGGGAGGCGCCCTGGGGGGCTGCGATCTGCGAAACTGTCGCCACTTTCGAGGGCTGCTGGTGGGTCCAGCGGAGTGAGGCACCGCGCGGATCTGAGCAAGACCTCGCCGTGCCTGGGGGGCTGCGATCTGCGAAACTGTCGCCACTTTCGAGGGCTGCTGGTGGGTCCAGCGGAGTGAGGCACCGCGCGGATCGCAAGATCTGAGGAGACCTCGCCGTGCCTCTGGGGGGCTGCGATCTGCGAAACTGTCGCCACTTTCGAGGGCTGCTGGTGGGTCCAGCGGAGTGAGGCACCGCGCGGATCTGAGCAAGACCTCGCCGTGCCTGGGGGGCTGCGATCTGCGAAACTGTCGCCACTTTCGAGGGCTGCTGGTGGGTCCAGCGGAGTGAGGCACCGCGCGGATCTGAGCAAGACCTCGCCGTGCCTGGGGGGCTGCGATCTGCGAAACTGTCGCCACTTTCGAGGGCTGCTGGTGGGTCCAGCGGAGTGAGGCACCGCGCGGATCTGAGCAAGACCTCGCCGTGCCTGGGGGGCTGCGATCTGCGAAACTGTCGCCACTTTCGAGGGCTGCTGGTGGGTCCAGCGGAGTGAGGCGCGCGGATCTCTGAGCAAGACCTCGCCGTGCCTGGGGGGCTGCGATCTGCGAAACTGTCGCCACTTTCGAGGGCTGCTGGTGGGTCCAGCGGAGTGAGGCACCGCGCGGATCTGAGCAAGACCTCGCCGTGCCTGGGGGGCTGCGATCTGCGAAACTGTCGCCACTTTCGAGGGCTGCTGGTGGGTCCAGCGGAGTGAGGCACCGCGCGGATCTGAGCAAGACCTCGCCGTGCCTGGGGGGCTGCGATCTGCGAAACTGTCGCCACTTTCGAGGGCTGCTGGTGGGTCCAGCGGAGTGAGGCACCGCGCGGATCTGAGCAAGACCTCGCCGTGCCTGGGGGGCTGCGATCTGCGAAACTGTCGCCACTTTCGAGGGCTGCTGGTGGGTCCAGCGGAGTGAGGCACCGCGCGGATCTGAGCAAGACCTCGCCGTGCCTGGGGGGCTGCGATCTGCGACACTGTCGCTACTTTCAAAGGCTGGTGGCGGGTCCAGCGGAGTGAGGCACCACGCAGATCTGAGCGGGACCTTGCAATCCTTGAAGAGCTGCGAGCCTCACGAATGCCGCTCGCAGAAATATATGAGCCCATGTCACGTCATCACTTCCGTATAACGTCTCCCAAGCTACTCATGCCCCGCATTGCGCAGGGGTTGGGTACGTCGCCAGGGTCATTTTTATGTTTTGAGAAGAAGAAGAATAAGAGAACAAAAACAAAAAAACAAAAAACAAAAAAAGCGTCCCCCGACTACATTTTTACTAATTTTGAAGATTCCCCTGTAGAGGGACACGCCCGACTTACACGCAGATGCTCGCCATGTGAAGCAAGCTGGTCCTGCGAACACTTTTGGCCTTCGGGAGCAAGACGAAGCCAGTACGAGGGTAAATCCGGGTGAGCACAAGTCCAGAGTCTCTCAGCTCCAGCGGCTCTGCAAAATGTATCGGGCGTCGCGCCCTTCTCAGAGATTCCCAGAACGCTTTGAGAGCGTTCCGGAACGCTCTGGAACGGATTATCCTCGTCCTGGCCCCGTCCGATCCACGTCGACACGGCTGGGTTGTCCTCGAAATTCTTGTCGGAGCGCAGCCCAGCACGGGCCTGGAGACGCCTTTCTACCGCCGACCTGGGGGTCGCCGGATTTCTGGGATCGGCGCTGGACCCCTCCGTAGTGCGACGAGATCGATATCTCTCTCTCTCTCTCTCTATTTCTCTCTTTCTCTCTTCCTGTCTCTCTTTCTATTTTCCTCTCTCTCTCGATCTCACTCTCTCTCTCTCTCTCTCTCCCTCTCTCTCCGTACATATATATATATATGTGTGTGCACGTATATGGACACAAACAGATGTAGATGGGTACATATAGATGTACGACTGCATGTATGGAAGTAAGTAAGTATGTATGTATGTGTGTGTGTGTGTCTGTGTGTGGGTCCGTGTGTGTGCCTGTGTGTGTCTGTGTGTCTGTGTGTGTCTGTATCTGTGTCTTTGCGTGTGTCTGCGTCTGTGTCTGTGTCTGTGTCTGTGTGTGTCTATGTCTGTTGTCTGTGTGAAAATATGTGTGTGTGTGTGTCTGTGTGTGTCTGTGTGTGTCTGTGTGTGTCTGTGTATCTGCGTGTGCCTGCGTGTGTGTCTGTGTGTGTCTGTGTGTCTCTGTGTATGTGTCTGTGTCTGTGTCTGTGTCTGCGCCTGTGCCTGTGCCTGTGTCTGTGTCTGTGTCTGCGCCTGTGCCTGTGCCTGTGTCTGTGTTTGTGTCTGTGTGTCTGTGTCTGCTGTGTCTGTGTGTGTGTCTGCGTCAGTGTCAATGTCTATGTCTGTGTCTGTGTCTGTGCGTGTGTGTGCGTCCTCGTCTGTCTCAATGTCTGTGTCTGTATATTTGTGTGCCTGTGTGTGTGTGTCTGTGTCTGTGTGTGCCTGTGTGTGTCTGTGTGTCCGTGTCTGGATGTGTGTCTGTGTGTCGATGTCTGCGTCTGTGTGTCTGCGTCTATGTCTGTGTCTGTGTCTGTGTGTGCCTGTGTCTGTGTCTGTGTGTGCCTGTGTCTGTGTCTGTGTCTGTGTCTCTGTGTGTGCCTGTGTCTGTGTCTCTGTGCCTGTGCCTGTGTCTGTGTGTCTGTGCCTGTGTCTGATTCTGTGTCTGTATCTGTAATTGTGTGTGTCTCTGCCTGTGTCTGTGTCTGTGTCGGTGCAGGTGTCGGTGTCGGTGTCGGTGTCGGTGTCGATTCGGTGTCGGTGTGTCGGTGTGTCGGTGTGTCTGCGTCTGTGTCTGTGCCTGTGCCTGTGTCTGCGTCCATGTGTGTGCCTGTGTGTGCCTGTGTCTCTGTCATGTTTGTGTCTGTGTATGTGTATGTGCCTGTGTCTGTGTCTATGCCTGTGTCTGCGTCTGTCTGTGTCTGTCTGTCTGTGTCTGTGTCTGTGTCTATGATTGTCTGTGTCTGTGTAGGTGTCTGTGCCTGTGCCTGTGTCTGTGTCTGTGTCTGTGCCTGTGTGCATGTTTTTGTGTGTCTATGTCTGTGTGTCTGTGTCTGTGTCTGTTTCTGTGCCTGTGTCTGTGTCTGTGTATTTGTCTGTGTCTGTGTCTGCGTCTATATCTGTGTCTGTGTCTGTGTCTCTGTGTGTCTGTGCATGTGTCTGTGTCTGTGTCGGTGCCGGTGTCGGTGTCTGTGTGCGTCTGCGTGTGTGTGTGTTTGTGTCTGTCTGTGTCTGTGTGGGTTTCTCTGTGTGTGTCTGTGTGTGTCTGTGTGGGTGTCTGTGTCCGTGTCTGTGTCTGCGTCTGTGTTTGTGCGTCTGTCTGTGTCTGTGTCTGTCTGTGTCTGTGTCTGTGTCTTTATCTGTGTGTGTCTCTGTCTGTGTGTCTGTGTCTGTGTGTCTGTGTCTGTGTGTGTCTGTGTGTGTCTGTGTCTGTGTCTGTGTCTGTGTCTGTGTCTGTGTCTGCGTCTGTGTCTGTGTCTGTGTCTGTGTCGTGTGCGTCTGTGGCTGTGCGTGTCTGCGTCTTTGTATGTCCGTGTCCGTGTGTGTCACTGTGAGTGTGTGTCTGTGTGTGTCTGTGTGGGTCAGTGTGTATGTGTCTGTGTGTGTGTCTGTGTATCTGTGTGTGTCAGTGTGTCTACCTGTGTCTGTGTGTCTGTGTGTCTGTCCGTGTCTGTGTGTCTGTGTGTGTGTGTCCGTGTGTCTGTGTATCTGTGTGTCTGCGTGTCAGCGTGTATGTGTGTCTGTGTGTCTGTCTCCGCGTGTCGGCGTGTCTGTGTCCGTGTGTGCCTGTGTGTCGGTGTGTCTGTGTGTGTCTGTGTGTCTGTGTGTCTGTGTGTGCCTGTGTGTCTGTGTTTGTGTGTCTGTGTGTGTCTGTCTGTGTGGCTGTTTGTGTGTCTGTGTGTGTCTGTGTGTCTGTGTGTGTGCCCGTGTGTTGTGTCTGTGTGTGTGCCTATGAGTGTGTCTGTGTGTGTCTGTATGTGCGTGCGTGCGTGCGTGCGTGCACATGTGTGTGCGCGCGTGCGTGCGTGCGTGCGTGTGTTGTGTGTTGTGTGCTATGGTGTGTGTGTTGTTGTTTGTGTTGTTTTTGTTGTGTGTTGTGCTGTCTGTGTTGTGCTGTGTTGTGTTGTGTTGTGGTGTGTTGCGTTGTGTTGTGCTGTGCGTTTATAATGTGTGCTTGTGTGTAGTTGTGTTTGTGCTTGTGCTTGTGCTTGAACTTGTGCTTGTGCTTGTGCTTGTGTTTGTGCTTGTGCTTGTGCTTGTGCTTGTGCTTGTGCTTGTGCTTGTGCTTGCGGTTGCGGTTGCGGTTGTGGTTGTGGTTGTGGTTGTGGTTGGGGTTGTGGTTGTGTTGTGTTGTGTTGTGTTGTATTATCTTGTGTTTCAGGTGTGTTGTATTGTGTTGTGCTGTGTTGTGTTGTGTTGTGTTGCGTTGCGTTGCGTGCGTGCGTGCGTGCGAGCATGCGCGTGCGCGTGCGCGTGCGCGTGCGCGTGCGTGTGCGTGTGCGTGTGCGCGTGCGTGTGCGCGTGCGCGTGCGTGTGCGTGTGCGTGTGCGTGTGCGTGTGCGTGTGCGTGTGCGTGTATGTGTGTCTGTGTCTGTGTCTGTGTCTGTCTGTGTGTGTCTCTCTGAGCTCTATTCCCTCCGAGAGGTGCGCATAATAACACGCACACACATACGTAGATACATACACCAAAACACACATGAAATATATATATATATAAACATCAACAAATGTAGACATATATACATACAGATATATCTATATATATGTGTAGATGTGTATGTACATCAAAAACATGCCCAAATACCTTCTACACACACCACCCCTGGCCAAAGGCCCATACTGGGCCCAGGATCGGTACAAAAGGCCTCCCTGGGTCGATCCGGGGCCCAGAATGGAGGGGCCTGGCCAGGCGCCGTGCGCAGGTATAGATCTCGTCGTCCGACCGGCGCCCCGTGCGGACCTTCTTGGATATCGGCGCTGAACTCCCCAGGGGCGCCCCCTGGCCAAAAGGGGTGGCCCAGCGCCGATCCGAAAGGCTGGTGCTCGCGCCGATGTTTCTTCCTGGAGTCCTCGAAGAGCCGGTTGGGGAAGAGGACCTGCAACGAAGGCGGCCGGCGGCGGCGGCAAGGCCACGGCGACGGCAGCGGCGGCGGTGCCAACCGACGGCGGCGACGAACGACGACTGCGACAGCGGCGACGATGTCGGCGATGGCGGCGGAGAATGAACGACGGGAGCGACGGACTACGACGATGACGATGATGACGACCACGACAAAGACCACGACGACGACCACCACCACCACCACGACGATGACAAGGCGTCAGGATGTCTCGGCGGAGCCGCCAGGTGAGACGACGACGATGACGATCTCGACGACGAGGACGACGACGCCGACGTCGACTACGACGACGACGACGCCGACGACGAAGCGGCAAGTGAGAGAAGGGGGGAGGGGGGGACATTGAAAGAAAAGCAGAACAGAAAGATAGGGGAAAGAGATGAGAGTGGTGCGGAGCGGAGAAGGAGCACAGGGAGGGCGACGGGTCATGGGGACGAGGACTGAAAGGAGGGGTAGGCGGGGCGGAGGAGGGGGAGGACGACGGCGACCACGAAGATTAGGCAGCAGGTGCAAGGCCAGTTGTTCAGCCCGGCCAAATCCATACCAGGCAACAAAGACATCAAATGTAAGAGGCCTCACAACTAAATGATCCCAGCGCGACACAACAGATGGGTACTCCTCTGCTGCAGGCGTCAGTGCGAAATGAACGCGTGGCCATGAGATGAATCAACATGGACTGCAACTCACTATGGTTCGAGCTGTTTGTCGCGTAGCACCGACTAGCGATGCGTATGATAATAGCGACTAGCGGCTCAATATCAGTACCACAGCATTGCATCATACTAACTAGCCTCGCGGATACTGGCAAGATATAGCATAGAACTGCATGGCATGGAATGAAAGACCAATCCGAGGCATTGTCTTGCACTGCGTACGGCTACATCGCTCAGCATGACATTGCATAGCGAGTCCTCACATAGCATGGACTTGCAAGGCAGGCCATATCACATAGCGCCAGCATAGCGTATAGCGAAGCCGGGATTATGATGGCACCGCACTTGCACTGTCTCTTAGAGCATCTCGTGCTATGCACTTGCGTCTGGCATCACTTGCGTCTGACATCACGATATGACAGCGCAGTGCAGATGATATGGCACCGCGCAGGAGGCACATGTTGGAGTTTTCTCGGGTGCTCGCGGTGCGAGCATGCATGTGGAATGAACGAACGAGCCAGCGCAGAAGCATTCATGCACAAATATCATCTTGTTCGGATATACTGATCTGAAAGTACCACCAATAACCCTATAGTTGTGTGATAGATGCTGTCTCTGACATGTATAACTATGTGAGTTATATGCATGTGTGTACGTATGTATGTATGTATGTATGCATGCATGCATGTATGTATGTATGTATGTACGTACGTACGTACGTATGTATGTATGTATGTATGGATGTAGGTATGTATGTATGGACGCATGTATCTGTGTATGTATGTGTGTATGCATGTATGTAGGTATGCATGTATGTATGTATGGATGGATGTATGGATGGATGGATGTACGTATGTATGTATGTATGTATGTATGTGTGTATGTATGTATGTACGTACGTACGTACGTACGTACGTACGTATGTATGTATGTATGTATGTATGTATGTATGTATGTATGTATGTATGTATGTATGTATGTATGTATGTATGTATGCACATGTGCATGTGTACATCTGTGTAAGTGTGTATATATATATATATACTAGAACCATCGCGCGCTTCGCGCGCGCTCAAGTTCTAGCTAGGGCGAAAGAACACATGGTCATCCTTGTCGTTTCTTGCATCCAGGGACTCTCTTGGCGGCCCTGCGCAAGCCTCGGAACCGAATAGAAGGGGAACTGCGGAAACGCAAAAGTCATTAATTGCCGTTATGTATTCAACGATTTGGGGCCCTCGAAGACTTCCTGGGTTCTGTTCTGGGGCCTTAATTGTGGTCTTCTGTGCGAAAATAAAGACGGGGGGCAAACTTGGAAAGAAACGGAATGGTGGGGTTCCCTTTTTTTCAAATTGTAGTGCCTGGGCTGTGAGTTAGACGTTTTCTGCATGCATGCCACGGTCTGTTCGGATGCCTGTCGGAGCCTTCGTGCAAAAACAAGCAGGGGGTGAGTTTTAAAAAAGGACTTCTAAAATTCCACTGCTTCAACTCATGGGGTCATAGGATCTCGACTTCTGCAATGGTTTCAGGGGCAGCCAAGAGGACACGGAGACGATCCCAGCGAGTGCCAAGACACAGTCAGAGAGTTCAACAGCATTCCCGAAATATTTTTGCATGTGACCCCGAAGTCTTGATGGGGCTCCAGGAAGAGGATAGGGAGTAGGAGTCCCAACTTGAAAGGGAATTTCTGGAATCCCCCTTTTATTTCAAATTCCTTGGCCTTGGAGCGTTGGAAGCCGCAGAACGTGAGAAGGCGGAAAAGTCGACAAAAACCTCTGAGAATCAACGTTTTCACCCTCTTCAGGCTCTCTCGGGACGGCTCGAGAAGATCTCTTGGGCTGTTTGGGGGGCCTCGTCGGCGCTTTTTGGGGGGCCCCTCAGGGGTCTGGGGTGTGTTGGTCTGGGAGGTCCCGGAGTCCTCTCGGAGGTCTCTGGCGGCCTCCTGCTCCCGCTCTTGGGCTCATCTGGGGCCTGTTCTTGGGTGGTCTGGCTGTCCGGGGTGCCTCTTCGGCAGTCTTGGGACCGTCTTGGCCCGTCTTGGGGCCGTCTTGGGGGCCTCTTGGGCGGTCTTGGGGCGGTCTTGGGGGCCTCTTCGGCCGTCTTGGAGCGTTGGAAGCCTGAAATGGTGAGAAAGCCAAAAAAACCTGCAAGTAAACATGGAAATTAACGATTTTGGGTTCTCTGGGCGCTCTCGGGAGGCCTCTCGGAGCTCTCTTGAGGTCTCTTGGAGGCCTCCTGGGAGCCTGAAGAGCCGCCCGAAAGCTATCCTGGGTTGCTTGGGAGCGTCTTGGGCAATTCTTTTGATTACGTTGTGGGGGCTTCTTGGGGTCGTCTTGGACTGTCCTTGGGCATTGTGGGGCTCCCCAGGAGGCCGGGAAGCGCGATACTGGGAGCGTACACGAGACGTTCCGGGAATGTGTGGAACCCCCGGAGGAGGGAGCGCACATTTGTTGAATTTGAGGAGAACCAAAAAAAAAGGAGTCTCTGAAATTCCCTCTCTTTTTTTCAAATTCCTCGGTCTTGGAGCGTTGGAAGCCGCAAAACGTGCGAAGGCGAAACAAGTCTACAAAAACCACTGATAATCAACGCTTTTACCCTCTTCGGACTCTCTCGGGACGGCTCTCGAAGCTCTCTTGGGCTGTTTGGGGGGCCTCGTCGCCGCTTTTTTGGGGGGCCTCTTAGGGGTCTGGGGTGTGTTGGAGGCCTCTGGGGGGTCCCAGAGTCCTCTCGGAGGTCTCTGGCGGCCTCCTGCTCCCGCTCTTGGGCTCATCTGGGGCCTGTTCTTGGGTGGTCTGGAGCTGTCCGGGGCGCCTCTTCGGCACTCTTGGGACCGTCTTGGCCCGTCTGAGGGCCGTCTTGGGGGCCTCTGGGGCGGTCTTGGGGGCCTCTTCGGCCGTCTTGGAGCGTTGGAGACTTGAAATGGTGAGAAGGCCAAAAAACCAACAAGAAAACATGGAAATTAACGATCTTGGGTTTCTCTGGGCGCTGTCGGGAAGCCTCTCGGAGCTCTCTTGAGGTCTCTTGGAGGCCTCCTGGGAGCCTGGAGAGCCGCCCGAAAGCTATCCTGGGTTGCTTGGGAGCGTCTTGGGCAATTCTTTTACGTTGTGGGGGTTTCTTGGGGTCGTCTTGGACTGTCCTTGGGCATTGTGGGGGCTCCCCGGGAGGTCATACCGGGAAAGTACACCAGATGTGAGCGAGGTGGAGGACGCCCCAGGAGGGGCCCCGGCCTATTTGTTTATACTTATGTATATATGTATATGTTTTATGTGTATATATATGTGTGAATGTGTATACAAATATCTTATATATCATATATATATATATATATATATATATATATATATATATGTGTGTGTGTGTGTGTGTACGCCGGATTGTTGGGGGCACGAGCCCAGGGCCGGGCAACCCTCCCGGATTCCCCCCCCCTTTTCAGCACCAGAAATCTGGACCCTCTCCGGGGCATTCGGGCCATCCCCCTGGGCGCTCAAAACAGCCCTGGGGCACGGTAAACAGCGACCTGAGCAGCCCAACATCGCCAACCACGCCCCAAGGTTGCGTCATCAAGAGGCCCGGAAAGGCCGCCAAGACGCCCTGAGAAAGCTCGCCAGCAGCGCCCCAGGAGGCCAAGATTCCCCATTTCTCTCCAGGAAGCGTACATATTCACATGTTCGCTCTCTGGGTTTTCTCATCGTCCACAGCAACCCAAGAGGCCCCCAGTATCGCCTCAAGACATCCCAAGAGGCCCCCGAGAGGGCCCCAAAACGGCCGAAGAGAGCCTCAAGACGGTCCAAGAGGCGCCCAGGACGGCCCAAGAGGGCCCCACCTTGACTGCCATTTCGGGCCCTCCACACCAAGTGGACCCCCGAGACAACTAGCAGGCCCACGAAAGGCCCCCAAGGGATCCCGAAGAGGGTCCCGAAAGGCCCCCGAAAGGCCCGAAGGCCGGAGGAGGAGGGCAGGAGGAGGAGAGGAGAGGGGATAATTTGGAGCAGGCGGAAGGAGAGGAAGAGGAGGAAGAGGAGGAGGACGACGACGACGAAAGGGAGAAGGAGAAGGAGAAGGAGGAGGAGGGCAGACACGCCGCAGCAAACGTACCCACATTTCAATAGCTACCAACGGCTACACCACAGCATGGTAGCAAATGGGCCCACATTTGAATTACCACAAAAAAGACGCACCCACATTTTAACATGAAACTCCCGCTCGAAACAGAATCAAACACTGGATATGCTGGATACACTGGAGGTGGCGTTGGAATACGCCTGCAAACCCCGTGCGCGCATGGGCGCTTCCAGACACACGTATACCTTAAGAGACGTGGCCGCTGGACACGCGTCCAAGTGAGGCTCAATTAATTTCCGAAACTACCGCGCGCCGCCTGCCCAGCGAGGGCGGTATTCGCCCGAGGATCAAAATAAATCAAAATTATGATTGGTGTGTTAGTTTGTTATACTATGGTCATTGGGTAGATCGCTTCAGTAGGCTGGACCCATGGAATCTGACATGGCTGATATCTATATACATAGATATCCGTTAAGCGGAGGCATACAGGTAGATAGGGTAAGAAACAGAAGGGTCTGGCTGGCTGGCGACGACAAACCGCGGCGGCGCGCCCTTTTGATGCACCTACCTGCAGCCAGGTACGGCTGTACTAGGCCAGGCGACCAGCAGCGATATCCGCTGACGACGGCGGCGGCGGCGGGAGACGGCGAGGATAGAGTGATATAAACTCCCCCCGCGGCAGGATGAGTAGGCCTGTCTTCAGCTCATTTCGGGGTTGCCAGATTTCATGCCATCCCCAAGCGCTTTGGCCCCCCCGGTGCCGAACCCCAAAAGCAAACGTTTGACAGCGCACGGGGCGGGATGGCATCTACTCCTGACAGAGTTCTTGAAGCGGGCCGAAGCAGACTGACGTATCCAACAAGTAAGACAGCGCACCAGTTCACAATCATGTTCTTTGTCAGCAACTTCCTTTAGATCTTTAAAGACACTTTGTCACTGTTCCGCTCATGGTCGAGGACATTCTAAAATTCAGGATCCATTCTGCGATCAAGTGCAAGGCAACGCACGGCTTAGCCACACATTCCTGAAGTGGTCGGCAATCCATGAAATCATCTCCATTCTACAACTGGTCCTTTCCCCTTGCCTTTGCCCGGTGGGCCCCGAGTCCGGGTCCACGCGGGGTAGAGCTCTGACTGTATTCACGCATTGTCCGCCACTGCCCACTCCTATCGCGCTCGTGGAAGACCCACCATCCAGATCCTGCCCAGTAGTGTTGATATGTGTTCCAGTCTCCCCTCTCCTTGGCGTCGCACTCCCTTGGAGCCTCACCGAGGGAGCCACGGGTCGAGGCAACCGATGGCCCCATCCATAGAAATCGCAAGGTCACTGACACGAATGTCCCCTGTACGTATAGCTTTGAATGGCGGCGCTCCTCCACTGCGCCCAGGGGCAGGCCTCTTCGGCGGCGATGGCTGGGACGTCCGAGAACCCGGCGGCGCAGGGGGAGTAGGCAGAAGACCTCTTCAGCCATCTTTGGGCCCTCCTGGGGGCCTCTTGGCCCGTCTTGGCGCGGTTTTGGAAGCCTCTGGGGCCGTCATGGAGCGTCGGGGGCTCGAGAAGTCGAGCACCCAAAAAACGCGTTCAAAACAAGCAAACAAAAAACAAAAGCAAAAACACATAGACCACGGGTAAAACTCGCCATGTTTGCCTCTCGGGGTCCTCTTCTGGAACCTCCGGCAGCCACTGAAGGCCGCCTGGGGCCGTCCTGGCGATCTTTCTCTCTCGTTTGGCGGCGAACGCGAGGGGGAAGTGAGAAGAGGCGGGTCTTCTCAGAAGGCTCGGGAGTCCCCCGGCCTTCTGAAAAGTTTTCTGAAATTCCCCCATTGACAGAAAAAATTCTCAGAAGGCGCGAAGGCTTCTGAGAAGTCCCGCCGCCTTCTGAGAAGGCCTTTTCCTTCTCACTTCCTCCCCTCGCTCGCCACTGATCGTTGGATCTCGTTGACAGTCAGACACGAGATACTTCCCGTTTCCTCGCAGCGCCGCCAGGCCTGCGCAGAGCGGAGGGCTTCAGACTCTTTGGGATTGCAGCACAAGAATGTTTCAGAAGTGCACTCTGCCTGATTGAGCCCAGAGGCACCCAAGAACGCCCCATGAGGCCTCGGCGACAAACCCCAAATCACTGACATTGGACTAAGGTTCTGGCCACGTGTTGGCCTCCTGGGGGGGGGCCCGCTCCTTTTGATCGATATCTTAAAAGATGGCCCCAAGATGGTCCCCGCCCGATGCTCCCAAGTGTGCTCGAAGATGGCCCCAAGAGGTGCCCAGCAGGCCCCAAGAGGCCCCCAAGAAACCCCCGAAAGGTTCCAAGAGGCCCCTGGTAGGCCCCCAAGACGCCCCAAGTCCCCAGGATTGCCAAAAGACCCCCAAGACGCCCCCACAAGACTCCAAGAAGCTCTCGAATGAAATCCAAAGAGACTCCGAGAGCTCCTCCTTGTCATCCTCCTCCTCCTCCTCCTCCTCCTCCTCCTCCTCCTCCTTCTCCTCCTCCTTTCCCTCCTCCTCAGATGACTCATCCACCTGTTCCTCCTCCTTCTCCTCATCATCCCTCCTCCCTCCTCCAACTTCCCCTCTCCCTACTATTCCTCCCCCTGCCCCTCCTCCGATTCCTCCTCCATCATCCCCGTCCTCTTGGGGCACGACGTCTTTCCCAGCCTTGCATTCCACTGCATTATCCTCCACATCCCTGATCAGGGCAACTCGTCCGGGCATCGTGTTTGGATGGTCTGGTGGGGTTACGCGAAGCGTCTATAGTTTGCAGAAGAAGCCTAGGGATGGACGGCAGTCCGTGTTCGAAATGTGATTATCGCCTTAGCGCCGCGCACATTCGTCTTAGAAATGTACATGCGCTTCACGGATGGAGGGCGGCCCGCTTTCAAAATGTGGCTTTCGCTTTGCGCCGCGCATTTTCGTCTCACCTATACGACCACCCTGCGGGTGATAAGGAGGTTTGGGGGGGCAGCACTGGGCAACAGTGGTGACTGTTGTTCTGGCGATGCCTGCGGCGCGCAGTCTAGTGAGTAGTGCGATTATGATCGCGAGCGTGATGTGATGTGGCGACGTTGGCGAAGCGCACTCGAAATTGTCGTGAAGCGCTGCCCCCGCGAGCGCTTATCAATCGCGCGAACCTTACCTCAGCGCTAGTCGACGTGGTCGAACGTGCGCGCTGCGGTGCCACCCTGACTGCTGCTGGCGCCACCCGATGCTGCCCTGGTTGCAGGTCTTGCGCCCGAGGCACTATCAAAGCTTGGTGTCAGCGGCGCCTGCGTGTTGGTGGGAGCATCTCCTGACGGCGCTGGGGTTCCCACGTCAACACCTGACGCACTGGCACAGCCTGGTGCTCGCACGCCCTCCTCTGGCGGCGCGTTCTCCACTGCGGGCACGTCGTCCACTGCCGGCTGCCGTGCCCCGTTTGCCCATGTGATGACCGTTCCTTTTTTGGCCTTGAAGTTCCATGTGAAATCGGGGTGGCTCTCGATGAAAGCTTTCAGCCCCCAAAGCACTAAGAGTTTGTTGAACTTCTCGTACACATGCTCGTCCTCCGGTCCGAGTCCCATCCTTTTGTGCGAAATCTTAGACGGATCGAACTCACCGCCATGCGCGTTCAGGCATCGGTGCACGAAGGCAACCAAGCGCGCGTCAGCATCAGGCGTGTCAGCCTCCTCGCCGGCACCCCGGAGGCGCGCAGGGGCGTGCACTGGCAATGCCTGGTGCCCCGCGTCGGCGCCGGGCAGATTGGCCACCAGCTGGTCTGGCGATACCTTCCAGTGCACAGGTCGGAGCACAATACGCAACCCACGGCGCCTCACGACTTGCATTTGGATGCGCATGTCGATTTGCATTTCGATGTGCTTTTCGGTTTTCATGTCGATTTGCATGTAGACTTGCATTGGATAGCTTGCCGCAGCCACGGCAGGACACACTAGCGGGACACCGCGGGCCACAGTTTGCTGGGTGGAGAGACTTTTGGTCCGGCCGCGGCCCGGCCTCAGGAGGATTTCGGGACACCAGCGGGACACCGCGGGCCACCGTTTGCCGGTGGAGAGACTTTTGATCCGGCCGCGGCCCAGCCACAGGAGGATTTCGGGACACCAGCGGGACACCAGCGGGACACCGCGGGCCACCGTTTGCTGGTGGAGGGACTTTTGGTGCGACCGCGGCCCAGCCACAGGAGAATTTCCTGTCGCCCGCCCACGCAGCTTCGCCTCGCCCGCCCGCACGCACGCACGCACGCACGGCACGTACAACACGAACCCGAATCCGAAATCGATTTCCTGGTAGGGGGGGTCTCCGTTTCACGTCGGACTCACCCCCAACCTCCGATATAATTGCAAGAGTTTGACGGATTGAGGGCGACCCGCTTTCAAAATGTGACCCTCGCCTCATCGCCGCGCACATTCGACTTAACTAATTGCCAGCGGTTCACATGTGGAGGTCGGTTCCTTGTCTAAATGTGGCTCTCGCCTCAGCACCACGCATATTCGTCTTGAGAGTTTGCAACAATGTCAAGCATGATTATGCTCAACGTCCCAGAAAGAATGTCTTGGCACGATGTCGGGATGTCAGGGCGCAGAAATCGCGCTGATTCGCGGCATTGAAGTCCAAGGAATGGTGTTCTGGCCACGGCTCAGGATCGTCAAGACGCAGTCATAACAGTGATTCGCGGCGTTGAAGTTCCAGGAATGGTGTTCTGGCAAAATTCCTGATTTTCAAACGTATGACTTCCAACGGGGCACTTCCCCAAGTGAAAACCAATCCTTGTGGAGACCCACGAAGAGGGAACTTGGAGGGAGGGTTCATTGCAATATCGCTGATGGGCCTTGGGTTTACACTGGTCCTCCTCCTCCTCCTCCTCATCATCATCCTCCCCCTGCTCCTGCTCATGCTCTTCATCCTGCGCCTCCTCACCCCTCTGAATTGCTCCTCCTCCTCCTCCTGCTCTTCCGCTCTCTCCTCCTCTCCTTCTCTACTCCTCTCGCTCTCCATCACCATCCAAACAAACTGGTCCGTGATGTCTGGCCTCCTCCTCCTCGGAATGATCCATGATGGTCGACCTCCTCCTCCTCCTCCTCCTCCTCCTCCTCCTCCTCCTCCTCCTCACCATCCTCCACCTGCTGGCGTGCCCGCGGGTTCGCTGGAGACGCTGCTCTGAGGTCAGAGCCTCCCCTCCGACAGGCTCCCCCCCGGGAGACCACCGTGCCGTTCCGCTGCGGCCCGCCGTCGTCGGCGATGTCCCCGTGGTGCAGCACCACCTGGCTGGGTGGAGGGGCGGCCACTTCGCAAAGAGACTCTGCTGTGGGCGACTCCGTGGGAGGCTTCCAGAGACCCGCGGGCCTCGGAGGGAGGCGGGCTGCTCGACCCGCGTCCTGTGGTGACTCACGGGAGCCTCGCATGCCATCTTGCTGGCTCTTGCGAGTCGACGCTCACCGACGCTGGACGCTAATCGACGTTGAACCGAGGCTAATCGACGTTAAATCGGCGCCTGCTCATCGATTAGCAGACGCTAACGCACGTCAATGCACTCGAAACACGGGATTTCGAGGACACACATGATTACCTACCAAACCACCCCAACCCAACCCGAAGGCCCGAATTAGGCCCGAATTTCGGTTTGGGGAGAACGAGTTTAATATGTGTTTCTCAATGCCCCCCGACCCCCCCACACTGGAAATGGAGGGCAAATCAGGGCCTTCGGGTTGGGTTGGGGTGGTTTAGTGGGCGGCGAACACAAGGCTCCCAGGAGTTGCTGTCGAATCGACCCCCTGGGAGAGCGAGCTGACGGACCTCCACCCGGAGATGACCAGGTGATACTGGCAGAGGGGCGAGGAGGACAAGGAGGAGCGGCGGGGGGCACGCGAGGCCGTGGTCGGCGCTGCATCCCGTGTGGCAAGCGCCGGACCGCCCCTTGGAAGACGTGGGCGGACACGACCTCTCGGGACCCGATCCCTCTCCTCCTCCTCCTCCTCCTCCTCCTCCTCCTCCTCCTCCTACTTCTCCTCCTCCTCCTCCTCCTCCGCCGCCGCCTCCGCCTCCGCCTCCGCCTCCGCCTCCGCCTCCGCCTCTCCTCCTCATCCTCCTCCTCCTCCTCCTCCGCCTCCTCCTCCTCCTCCTCCTCCTCCTCCTCCCTCCCTCCCTCCCTCCCTCCCTCCCTCCCTCCCTCCCTCCCTCCCTCCCTCCCTCCTCCCTCCTCCCTCCTCCCTCCTCCCTCCTCCACAATTACACAATATGAATACTACTCTCCCACTTCCCCTGATGGCGTCCGGAAGATGTTCGGCACCCCCCCGCGTACTGTTTTTTTACACACAGGATTCCCCGGAGTTGGGTTTTCGCTTGTGTTTTTTTCTAAAATGCTGCTCTCGCTGAGGCGCTGGCCTAATTTTCGGGCTCCCGCTCCTTCCGAATCGTGTTCCCGCTGCAGCGCTGGCCTCATTTCCGCGCTCCCGCTCGTTCCGAATCGTGCTCCCGCTGCAGCGCTGGCCCAATTTCTGCGCCTCTCGTTGTTCCAAAACGTGCTCCCGCTGCAGCGCCGACGTTTTCGATCCTTTTTAAGAAGCCCCAAATCTAGAAAATGATCCCCGGCAAAAACATTGGAGGTGATTACACATCCGGTGTCGATTCGTTGATTTTTGGGGCCGCAGAAAGCCCCCCCCCCTTTTGGGCGGCGTCCTTTTCCGCACAGGATTCCCGGGAGTTTGGTTTTCATCTATGTTTTTGAAAATCCGAGTCTTTCCGGTCCTTCAGAATGTTGCTCCCGCTGCAGCGTTCGTCCTATTTTCCGCGCCGCTGGTCGTTCCAAATCGTGCTGCCGCTGCAGTGCAACGGTCCCCGGCCCCATGCTATGATATGCTCCGCTCCAGTGGCGTTCTTCGGCTCTTCAACAATGGTGCTCCCGCTGCAGCGTTGGTCCCATGTCTGCGCCTCTGCTCATTCCAAATCGTGCTGCCGTATTGTTTTCTTGGCACTACGGCACTCTTCGGCTCTTCAACATGTCGCTCCCGCTGCAGCGTCGGTCCCATTTCTGCGCCTCTGGTCGTTCCAGATCGTGCTGCCGCTGCAGCGCATGCGTCCCGCGTCCCATGCTATGACATACTACGCTCAGCATTGCTCTTCTGCGCCATGCTATGACATGCTACGCTCTGCAGTGCTATGGCATGCTACGCTCTGGGCTCCATCGCTGGTGCTTTCAATTGTGCTCTCGCCTTAGCGCCTTTCCCCTTTGCGGCCTATCTTACACATAATCCGCTTCCGACCCCCCTGATCCTTTTCCACCTCTTTCTTGTTCCTCCTGATCCCCCCCAACCTCCTGATCCTTTTCTTCCTCCGCCTCCTCTTGTTTCGCCAGCCGTGTACCCCGACAGCGAGTATAGGGACCCCGTTGGTTTTCAGTATCCCTGGAATCTGGCTTCGTTCGCCCTGCACCCTGCGGTCGTCGTTTTTTTTCGACGTTGTCGTGTTTGTTTCGATGCCTCACTACGCAATGCCACAACCCGCTATGACATGCTACGCTCTGCAGTGGTTTTCTACGCCATGCTATGGCATGCTACGCTCTGTAGTGCTATGACATGCTACGCTCTGGGCTCCATCGCTGGTGCTTTCAATTGCGCTCTCACCTGGGCGTCCTTCTCCTTTGCCCCCATATCCTCCACATAATCCGACTCCCAACCTCCTGGTCCTCTTCTTCCTCCTCCTCCTCCTGTTGCTGCTGCTGCTCGTCCTCCTCCTCATTCTCCTCTGTCTCTTCTACCTCTTCGTCTGTGCTCATACGCCCCATCCTCTTCGCATTGTATTGTCTCGTTGATCGTCCGCCTCCTGTGGCCTGCATCCTTCCCTTCCCTGCTCTGGATCCGGCGGCCATCAGGTCCCGTCGGTCCCAGAGTATCCCTGGGATGTCGCCTCGTTCGCCGTGCACCCTTTCGCCATCATTGCCCTGCTCGACATCCGACTGTGCGAGTAGAGAGAAATCTGCGCCATGGTAAGGGATGGGAGGGAGCGGTAGGATGTCAGATATGACGCGAGCGCACCTAGCTTGTCCCTCCCCCCTCCTCCTCCTCCCTCCAATTTCCTCCTCCTCCCTCCTCCCTCCTCCTCCTCCTCCTCCTCCTCCTCCTCCTCCTCCTCCTCCTCCTCCTCCTCCTCCTCCCCCCCTCCTCCTCCTCCGCCTCCTCCTCCTCCTCCTCCTCCTCCTCCGCCCTCCTCCGCCCTCCTCCGCCCTCCTCCGCCCTCCTCCTCGTCCTTCCTCCTCCTCCTCCTCCTCCTCCTCCTCCTCCTCCTCCTCCTCCTCCTCCTCCTCCTCTCCTCCTCATCCTCCTCCTCCTCCGCCTCCGCCTCCGCCTCCGCCTCCTCCTCCTCCTCCTCCCTCCTCCGCCTCCTCATCCTCCTCTTCTCTATCTCTCTCTCTCTCTCTCTCTTTCTCTATCTCGCCTTCTCCTTATCCTTCTCCTTCTCCTTATCCGTATCAGTATCCTTATCAGTATCATGTTTCTTAGCATTATCATTATCCTTCTCATGATCCTTATCCTTCTCCGTCTCCTTCTCCTTCTCCTTCTCCTTATCATTATCCTTATCATTATCCTCCTCATCCTCCCCCTCCTCCTACTTATCATGTTCCTTATCATTATCCTTATCCTTCTCCTTCTCCTTCTCCTTCGCCTTCGCCTTCGCCTTCGCCGTCGCCGTCGCCGCCTCATTATCCTTCTCCTTCGCCTTCTCCTTCTCCTTCTCCGTCTCCAGCTCCGTCTCCTTCTCCTTCTCTTTCTCCCTATCCTTTTCCTTATCCTTTTCCTTCTCCTTCTCCTTTTCCGTCACCTTCTCCTTCTCATTATCCTTCTCCTTCTCCTTCTCATTCTCCTTATCCTTCTCCTTCTCCTTCTCCTTATCATTCTCCGTTTCCTTTTCCTTCTCCTTCTCCTTCGCCTCCTCCTTCTCCTTCTCCTTCTCCGTCTCCTCCTCCTCCTACTTCTCCTTCTCCTTCTCCTTTTCCTTATCCTTCTCCTCCTCCTCCTCCTCCTACTCCTCCTCCTCCTCATCCTCCTCCTTCTCCTTCTCCGTCTCCTTCTCCTTCTCCTTCTCTTTCTCCTTCTCCTCCTCCTCCTCCTCCTCCTCCTCCTCGTCCTCCTCGTCCTCGTCCTCCTCCTCCTCCCTCCTCCCTCCTCCCTCCTCCCCCGCACCCTCCCCCTCCCCCTTCCCCCTCCTCCTCCCCCTCCCCTGAGATTGGAGTCCTAAAAGTGGGAACCAACACCAACACATGAAAATGCATCCACCGGGACAGGACAATACCAGACTTTGACGCTGGTGGCAATATTTCAGCCACCGAGGAAGCCTTACCACCATCACCGAGATCAGGAGCATCTTTCCTCGGCGGAGGCACACCACCGGCATTGTTGCTCGAGGCCCGCGATGAGATGCCCCCACGTGCTCAAAAGGCTGCCTCCACCAATCCTGGCCCCGTTTTGCGTGCCGCCCGCTGAGGAGCGGGGCGGATGAGGCTCTTGGAGGCGGCCTAGGGGTCTGAGCTGAACGGGCCCCGAGTAATTCTGTCGAGACGGGGGAGTGAGAACAGATCCGCTCACAATCTGTCCCCAGAGTCCCACCAGCCCTCTGGGGCGCAGGTGGTCTAACGATGTCTTTCGTTCCTCTTCGAAAAGCCCTCCTTCCCCTTCGGGGAAGGGTTCTCCCCCACCCGGGCGTCGGCCAACCTGGAACCATGCCGACTCCATAAGGGCCCGCCCCGCACCATCCCTGCCAAAAAACACTACAAGCCGCACTCTGCCTCCATATTTGGTGCTTGCGCGGCCCACCCGATGCGCCCCCCCCACCACCCCTGTCAAAAACACTGCAAAGTACAGTTTCAAAGTCTTGGGTCATGTTCGTGAAGCCCGCGAACATTTTGTATTGTTTCTGACAGAGACGGCGGGGGTGTCAGCAGATCCCCTGCTGCGCGCAAGGCTGCCATCCCTGACAAAAAACAAAACACATACACCTCGTGGTTAAATCTGGATCATGCGCGGCCATCCAGCGATCACTGTCAAGTGGTTTTTGACAGGGACGGCGGGGGTGGTGGCGCGTGGCCTGCTGTGCGCAGGCCCACCAGACACAATGATGGGCATTGGTTGTCGACAAGGATGGCGGGGGCCGACACGTTTCCCGATGTGCGCTGTCACGTGCGCTGGCGCACCTGACGCACTCTGCACGGGCCCCGAACGTGGCGCACCTGGCGCGGCTGGAGTGTGCGGCAAACCTGGCGCACTCGGAGAACGTGGCGCATCTGGCGCACCAGGCGTGCCTGGTACGCTCGGGCCCCAGGGGTTCCTGGCGCGCGTAGCGACCCCGACACGCGTGGCGCACCTCGCCCAAGCGTCGCGCACCTGATCTCGGCTTTGGTTTCCAGTAGCTGCCCATCCAAAGACGACCCTGAACATGCTCAGCCCCGGGTGATACTGATGTGTTGGGAGGGTGGGTGAGAGTCAGCTAGACGGCTTGCAGACGGGTGGGTAGCTTGATCACTGCTCCCTATCAATTTACACCCCCTCCCCCACCTGGCCGGCAGCCAACCCGGAACCATGCGGGCACCCCCCAACCATCCCTAACAAAAAGCAATACAAAATGCACATTGCGGGGCCCACCCTGCAAGCACCCTCCACATTCCCTGTCAAATTAGCCTGGCGAAAGACCCAACCGTATGCAGTTGTGACTTCCGCAATTGTGAGTATCTTCTTCGGTGGCGCTCCCTATGGGGCCACGAAACGCTGTACTGGGTGGGTTCAAGCAGGGAGCAAGGGCCGTGTTGGGTGGCGGCGGACGCAGCGGGCAGTGACACTGGGACCTTCCGTGGAGCTCCTTATGGGACCACGAAACGCTGTACTGGGTGGGTGAAGCGCAGGGAGCAAGGGCTGTGCTGGGTGGTGGCGGACGCCTGCGGGCGGTGCCACTGGGACCGTCGGTGGAGCCCCCTATGGGGCCTCGAAACGCTGTACTGGGTGGGTGAAACGCAAGGAGCAAGGGCTGTGCTGGCTGGTGGCGGACGCATGCGGGCGGTGCCCCTGGGACCTTTGGTGGGGCCCCCTACGGGGCCACGAAACGCTGTACTGGGTGGGTGAAACGAAGGGAGCACTGGCTGTACTGGGTGGTGGCGGACGCATGCGGGTGGTGCCCCTGGGACCTTCGGTGAAGCTCCTTATGGAGCCACGAAACACTGTACTGGGTGGGTGGGCTGTGCTGGGTGGCGGCGGACGCCTGCGGGCCGTGCCACTGGAACCTTCGATGGGGCCCCCTTACGGGGCCACGAAACGCTGTACTGGGTAGGTGAAACGAAGGGTGCAATGGCTGTACTGGGTGGTGGCAGACGCCCTATGGGGCCACGAAACGGTATACTGGGTGGGTGAAACGCAGGGAACAAGGGCCGTGCTGGGTGGTGGCGGACGCACGCGGGCGGTGCCACTGGGACCTCCGGTGGAGCTCCCTATGGGGCCACGAAACGCTGTACTGGGTGGGTGAAACGCAGGGAGCAAGGGCTGTGCTGGGTGGTGGCGGACGCATGCGGGCGGTGCCACTGGGGGCTTCGGTGGAGCTCCCTATGGGGCCACGAAACGCTGTGCTGGGTGGGTGAAACACATGGAAGGAGGAGGAGGGAGGGGAGGGAGGAGGGGGGGAGGAGGAGAGGAGAAGAGGAAAGCGGGGACAGTCTCTTCAAAACGTGGACCCAACACCACAGGATGGTTGGGAAAAATCCAGACATTGCAGCGAAATCTGGACAGTGCGCTGGCACCCTGTGAGCACGTTGTATTGTTTGTTTGTGAACAGGGATGGCAGGGCACCCGTAGTGAAGCCGCTTTGTGCAGGACCACAATCCGTGTCAAAAACAATGCAGCAAAGTGCACGTTGCGACAACGTCGTGGGTATTGTGCTGGCCACCCGCGATCACTTTGTATTGCTTTTGACAGGGACGGCGGTGGTGCCCGCATGATGATGCTTGCTGTGCGCAGGCCCAGAACAATGCTGACGCCCCCCACATCAGCGTCTGGACCATGCGGACGGGGGGGCATCACGTTTTCTATAAGGCACACCAGCCGCATGTGGAGCCCGCGGCGAGCGTCGCGCACCTGGCATCCGCGTTGGTTCCCAGGGGCTGTCCATCCAGTGGTTACCCCTGGCTATGCCGAGACTCGGATGCCACTCATGTGGTGGGAGGGCGGGTGGGAGTGAGCTAGACGGCTTGCGTGCGGAGAGGGTGTCCTGACCCCTTCCCCTACCCCTCCCCTGGACCTGGACGGGGGGGTCGTGAGCGGTCAGGGCGTCCAAGATAGCCTGAGACGGCTCCAAAAGGCCCTCAGAGCCCAAAATGGCCTCCAAGATCGCTCAAGATAGCTCAACATGGCTCAAGATAGCTAACAATATGCCTCCAAGAGGCCCCAGGAGGGCCAGAAGACGGATCCAAGTGCTTTGGGGCACCCCTCAGGACCTCCCCGAGAAGCCAAAATCCTTCTCGCCTTTTCGCTTCCGATGCTCTTTTGAGGCCTCAAGATGGCCCTAAGATGGCCCAAGAGGACCCCAAGAAGGGCCCAAGAGACCCCCAAGATCGCCCCAAGAGGGCCCCAAGAGCGCCCCAAGAGGCTATTTCGATGGCCCCAGAGGGGGGCGGGAAATCGAGGACCCCCCCCTCCGTTGATCGATGGTCTCCAAGATGGCCCCAGGAGGCGCTCCATAGCTTCCAAGAGGGCCCCAAGAGAGCCACAAGAGAGCCAAGAGGGCTCCATGAGGGCCCCAAGGCGACCCAAAAGAGCCCCAAGAGGACCCCAAGACCCCCCAAAGAGCCCCAAGAGGGGCCCAAAAAGGCCCCAAAAGAGCTCATAGAGGACCCCAAGATCCCCCAATACAGCCCCGTAGCTCCAAGAGGGCCTCCGGCGCTCCAAGATAGCCTCCAAGATGTCTCAACACCCTCCTTCCTCTCCTCTCCTTGCACGCTATGTTTCACTATATCTGTCTCCTCGTTTCTTTTCCCGTCAGCTCTCATGGGCAAGGCTTCTGAATGGGCTGGTGGGGAGTCGCAAAGCGTAAACAATCTTTCATCCTGTATCCGTTTTTGACTGTCCCGGGTTCCGAAAACGGCCCCTGGAGACCGAAAAGGGCAACAATAAAACCTCGTCGAACCCAGCACCTCGAACCTGCCCTGCCTTCCTACAGGCCGGAACCAGCCGCCCGCTCGGAGCGGGGCGGCGCCGCCTGGCCAGGTCTCAGGAAGGGCTCCGCGAGACCAACGAGGGTCATCGCGCTCTGGTGCCGCGTCGGGGAGAGCTCGACGCCCACCGCGCGGCAGCCCGTCCGCAGCGCCGCGTACAAGAGAACCCGGCCCCCGCCGCTGCCCAGATCACAAATGGTGTCATCCGGGTGCTGGCGACGATGGAGGGGAGGCCAACTGAAGACTAGTTGCATCTTCGGGGGATCTTGTCTGTCCCGTCGCGCCCCTATCCGAGTCGAATATGTGTCGAATGCATGTCGGTCTCGTCGAAGCCGCGTCGAATCCACGTCCAGTGCGCCTCGGGTCTGCGCCAAACCCGCGTCGAGTCAGCATCGAGCCCGCGTCGGGCACGAGAAAAGGCGCCAACTTGGGTGACAGACGAGGACTCCCGACGATGCTTCCAAGAAGCCACCTGAAGCCCCCGAGAAGCTTCGTGGCAGGGGGCTGCCTTTCGAAGGATTGGCCCCTCCCGTTTGCCGCATTCCCTCGTCGCCAAGTATACGTGCCAGCGCGCTCGAGGAACCAGTCGACCATCTCGAAAGACATCTCCCCGTAGGTGGCGTCGCCCCCGCTGCGCTCCACGTCGGACTCCTCCGCATCCGACAGGTCGTAGAGGCGGATGTCCTTCGGGGAAAAGGGGGGGGATTCCCAGAGAGAGCCTTTGCAGACAGGATCCGGCGTCGCCCGAGCTGCTTCCTCCCGACCGCACTGTGATGCCGCTGAGTGTCGACCCACTTTGGAACGCGCGGTGCTGCGGCGTTCACCAGCGACGCGCTCGTCGGCCCCCAAAGACGACTCCCACGAAGCCGCGGCCCTGGGGCCCCAGGAAGCGCCTTCGGACCGACGCCCGCGCACGTCCTGGAGCGCGGTCCCCTCTCGGGACAGGGCGGCGGCGCCGAGCATCTGAGCTGAAACCGAGGAGACTACAGTGGAGGCCAGTCCACAAGAGACCCTCCACGAGAAACCCAACCCTGAGACCCCAGGACGTCCACTGCTTTTTGGTGTGGGGACGTCGCACTCTCCATAGCGAAAGCATCGAAACCTGTAAAACCCGGGGCACCCGTTGAGCATCGTTTAACCGATCCCCGTCCCCAGGGGCGTAGCCTGGGCCCCACTGGCCGATTTACCCCCCTAGATGGGGATACAGGCCGTTCCCTTCGGTTTCGAGTGGTGCATCCCCAACTGTGGTGGTAATTTGGTGGGGGTCTCGAAGGGGATGAGGATGGGGATGGGGGTCGGTAAAACGATACTGAGCCCCGGAGGCAAGCAGGGCAGCCACTGTACGAGAGCGGCGCAGCGCGAGCAGGACGCAGGATCGGACGGGGGAGAAGCCGGACGGGCAGCAGACAGGGGGACGGGGGACACACGGCGGAGCGCCCGAAGCACAGGGGCTCGAACACCCTGGCCATCCACGGCCTTCGTCGCCCCGTTCGCTCAAGCGCATCCGCCATGTTTGGCGGCGCGCACAAGGGGGTGGAGGGATGGGGGAGGGCTTCTTAGAAGGAGGCTGCTTCCCTCCTCCTACTCCTCCTCCCCCTCCCCCTCCCTCCTCCCTCCCTCCCCCCCCCCACCGCACCCCTCCTCCTCCTCCTCCCCCCCCCCTCCTCACTCCTCCATCCTCCTTCCACAATTGCACAATATGAATACCACTCTCCTCTCTCCTCCCCGACCCCGAGGTCGTAGCCTGCCCCCCTTCTTGCACTGCTGCCTTCACAAAAAAGGATCCCAATAGTAGTCGAGCACATGTGTTTTCCCAATATGAACTTTTTCGGTGTCTCCAAAATGGCGCTCCCGCTACAGCGATAGCTCCATGTTCTGGCAGTCGGCCATTCCAAATCACACTCCCGCGCAGCGCTGACCTCATGTCTTCCTTGTGGATCTTACAGAACGTGATCCCGCAACAGCGTCGGCTCTCATTGAACGCTTGTGTTGTCCTGTGCGTTTTCCAATCCGGATGTTGTCGGTCCTTCCAGAAAGGCGATCTCGCTTCATGTTTAGCTTCAATGCCCGCACTCCCGGCTCTTCCACAATGGAACTCCCGAATCATCGTCGGCAGAATTTCCGTGTTCTCAACCAGTTTTGAAAGGAGATCTACGCCACGGTAAAACATTGGGGGGGAGGGGTACGACGTCAGATATGACGCGAGCGCACCTGGCTTGCCCCCCCAGCCCTCAGCGCTCCGCTCGACCAGCTACGCGAGGAGAGGGGCGCGGCCGAGGGGGGGCGGGAAAGGGCGGGGGGGGGGAGCGGCCTCCAGCTCGGGATCAAACAGGAGCCCACAGAGCAGCTCCACCACGCGCCGCGCCTCCCGACAGACGACGACAGACCGACGATGGCGACGACGACGACGAGGACGACGAGGACGACGATGACGACGACGACGATGACCACGACATCGTCGTCATCATCATCATCATCATCATCATCATCATCATCAGCAGCAGCAGCAGCAGCATCAGCATCAGCATCATCATCATCATCATCATCATCATCATCATCATCATCATCATTATCATCATGATTATCATCATCAGCATCATCATCATCCCTCCTCTTCCTCATCCTCCTCCGCCTCCTCCTCCCACTCCGTTCCCTCCTCTTCCTTTCCCCCCTCCTCCTCCTCCTCCTTTCCCTCCATTCCTTCTCCTTATAGAACTCCTCCCTGTCCCCTGTCACACCCTGGACGAGTTTTTAGGGCGGGTCGGGCGTTTCGCCTGAGACTTCCTCACCATGTATGGCCCTGAACCTTAAAAAGTGACAACAGCTTCACGGATGGAGGGCGGGTCGTTTTCATGGCTCTCGCCTTAGCGCAGCGCACATGTGTTTGAAAATGTGCAAGAATTTCACGGGTTGAGGGCTGGTCGTTTTCAAAATGTGGCTCTCGCCTTAGCGCCGCGCATATACGCTTTAAAAAATTGCAAGAGTTTCACGGATTGAAGGCGGGTCGTTTTCAAAATGCTCTCGCCTTAGCGCCGAGCGCATTCGTTTCAAAAATTTGCAAGAGCTTCACTGATTGAGGGCGGGTCGTTTTCAAAATGTGGCTCTCGCCTTAGCGCCGCGCACGTTCGTTTAAAAAGCTTGCAAGGGTTTCACGGATTCCCATGATCAACGTACCAGATATGGTGTGTTGGAAGGATTCTGGATATATGCGGGCGCAACAATGATGTTGATTCGCTGTGTTGAAGTCCGAAAAAATAGCGTTCTGGAACGATTCTTGATCGTCAAGACGCAGCAGTAAGTTGATACGTTGCGTTGAAATCCCGAGGACAATGTTTTGGCACGCTGAAAGATCTTCAAACTGTTGTCTTCCAACGAGGCAGTTCCCCAAAATGGGAATGAACCGTTGTAGGGGCCTATGACGAGGGAGCGTGGAGGGAGGGTTACGTCAAACATCGTTGATGACTCTTGGGTGTCCACTGGTCCTCCTCATCATCATCATCATCAGAATCATCAGCATCAGCATCATCAGCATCAGCATCAGCATCAGCATCAGCATCAGCATCAGCATCAGCATCACCATCACGATCATCACCATCACCATGAACAGTATCATCACCAGCATCATCATCAACAACATCATCATCATCATCCTCATCATCATCATCATCATCATCATCATCATCATCATCATCATCATCAGCATCATCATCATCATCATCAGCATGATCACCATCACTATCGCAATCATCATCATCAGCATCATCAGCATCATCAGCATCATCATCATCGTCGTCATCATCATCAGCATCATCATCAGTACCATTATCAACATCGTCATCATCATCAGCATCATCATCATCATCATCATCATCATCATGATCACCATCACTATCGCAATCATCATCATCAGCATCATCAGCATCATCAGCATCATCATCACCGTCGTCATCATCATCAGCATCATCATCAGTACCATTATCAACATCGTCATCATCATCAGCATCATCAGCATCAGCAGCATCATTAGCATCATTAGCATCATCAGCATCAACAGCATCGTCATCAGCATCGTCATCATCATGATCATCATCATCATCATTTTCATCGTCATCAGCATCAGCATCATCAGTGTCGCCATCACCATCGCCATCACCATCACAATCACCAATCGCATCATCATCAGCAACAGAGTCATCATCATCATCAACACCACAATCATCATCATCGTCATCGTTATCATCATCCTCCACATCATAATCAACATCATCGTAATCATCGTCATCGTCACGTCGTCGTCATCATCATCAGCATCATCATTATCCGCATCAGCATCCCCCCTCCTCCTCCTCCTGTCCCTCCTCCTCCTCCTCCTCCTCCTCCTCCTCCTCCTCCTCCTCCTCCTCCTCCTCCTCCTCTCCCTCCGTCTCCTCGTGTCCCGTCTCCTCCTCCTCATCCTCCTCCTCATCATCATCATTCTCCCTCTCATCCTCCTCCTCATCATCGTCATCATCATCATCATCATCATCATCATCATCATCAGCAGCATCAGCATCAGCATCAGCACATTCCTCATCATCCTCAGCATCATCATCACCACCACCATCATCATCAGCAGTATCAGTCTTATCATCATCCTCCTCATCATCATCAGCATCATCCTCATCCTCCTCATCCTTCTCCCTCTCATCCACCTCCTCATCATCAACAGTATCATCAACGTCATCATCATCATCAGCATCAGCATCATCGTCATCAGCATCAGCATCATCATCAGCATCAGCATCGACATCAACATCATCATCCGCATCATCATCAGCATCAGCACCACCACCACCACCACCACCATATCATCATCAGCAGCAGCATCATCAGCAGCATCATCGTCGTCGTCGTGTCGCCGCCGTCGTCATCATCATCAGCATCAGAATCATCATCATCAGCATCGATCCTCAGCATCATCAGCATCAGCATCATCAACTGATAATCATCAGCATCAGCATCAGCATCATCAGCATCAGCTGTGTCGTCGTCAGCATCAGCATCATCATCATGGTCATCAGCTTCATCATCAGCAGCATCATCATACTCATCATTATCATCGTCATCAGCATCAGCATCAGCAGCATCAGCATCAGCATCAGCATCAGCATCAGCACCATCAGCAGCATCATCATGAGCATCAGCATCAGCATCATCATCATACTCATCCGTATCAGCATCAGCATCAGCATCCTCATCATCATGATCAGCAGCATCATCAACGTCGTCGTCATCATCATCATCATCAGCAGCAGCAGCATCGTCATCATCATCATCAGCACCATCATTCTGTTCATCAACTCCAGCAGCATCATCATCATCGTCATCAGCATCAGCCTCATCATCATCAGCAGCATCATGATCATCAGCATCATCAGCAGCAGCATCATCATCAGCACCATCGTCATCATCATCAACTTCATCAGCATCATCATCAGCACCATCAGCATCATCATTATCATCACCATCACCATCATCATCATCAGCGTCATCATCATCAGCATCATCAGCATCAGCATCATCGTCGTCATCATCATCATCGACGTCGTCATCATCATCAGCATCAACATCATCAGCATCATCATCAAATTATTCCTCCTCTTTCTTCTCCTTTCCCTCCTCCTTTCCGTCCTCTTCCTTTTCACCCCCCTCCTCCTCCTCCTCCTCCTCCTCCTCCTCCTCCTCCCCCTCCTCATCCTCATCCTCCTCCTTTCCATCCTCCTCCTTTTCCTCCTCCTCCTCCTCCTTTCCTCCTCCTCCTCCTCCTCCTCATCCTTCTCCTCCTCCTCCTTTCCTTCCTTCCTTCCTTCCTTCCTTTCTCCCTTCCTTCCTCCCTTCCTTCTCCTCCTCCTCCTCCGTTCCCTCCTCCTCCTTTCCCTCCTCCTCTTTTCCTCCCTCCTTTCCCTCATCCTCCTCCTCCTCCTCCTCCTCCTCCTCCTCCTCCTCTTTCTCCTCCTCCTCCTCCACCTCCACCGCGGCTTCCGTGCGTCGGGAGCGCCAGGCCAAGGAAGGGCGGGCGGCGCCTCCCGTGCGCTCAGCGGCGGGCGCGCGCCCGCCGCCTGCTGGGGCAGCTCCGCGCACCTGCCGACGGGCCGCCCGCCTGCCGGGCCGGGGCGGCGCGCGGGCCCAGAGCAGAGAGCACCCCGGCAGGCGAAGCCCTCGGGGGGCGCGCAGAGGGGGGAGAGAGGCACGCGCCAGCGAGGCAGGGGGGGAGGATGGGAGACGCGGGGGAGGGAGCTGGAGGGAGGACGGATATGGAGGGGGGCGGAGGGAGGAGGAGGACGGAGGAGGCAGGAGGTAGGGAGGAGGGCGGATGCGGAGGAGGACGAGAGGAGAACGAGATCAGAATGAGCACCCCGACAAGCGAAGCCGTTTAGTAAACGCACCCAGGGGAGGAATCGAGCAGGACGGGGCTGTTTTGGGGGTACGCGCCCAAGTCCGTTCAGCAAATTCAGCGGTCCCCACGACGAAGGAGGACGAGGAGGAGGACGAGGAGGAAGACGAGGAGGAGGAGGAGGGAGAGGTGGAGGAGGAGGGGGAGGAGGAGGAGGAGGAGGAGGAGGAGGACGAGGAGGAAGAGGAGGAGGAGGAGTACAAGGACAGTGTGCCGCTGAAGAGTGTAAGAGTCTGCTAGATCCAGGCAGCGAGACGAAAACATGCGACGGCCTTTGTTTGAATGTTCTGGGCATGTGGGGGCAGTTTTCTGGCCCAGGGACCGCCAGCAAACAAAATGATCGGCGGCGAAAGCGAGCGCCAACGCGACCAAAGACCCCGGACACTCAGAATGAAAAGCTGGCCCTGGGGAAGGAAGGGGTCGAGATGCCCGAGGGCCCGTCACAAAAAAGTTCTGGACAACTAAAGCCATCCCCACCTTCACAAGGGAAGCCTTGGCCCTGCTGCTAGCCACCCTCCCCCCTGAGGTGGGAACGGGTGCCATCTGAGTCGGGATTCGCGGCTCCCATCCCCACCTGGAGCGCGCTCGCTAGGAAAACGACCTTACCCTGCCTCGGCTGTGGTTAGGATGGTTCCGACAATCATGACAATCATGGTTTGTGTCCGCCCTTCTCTGTCGCCTCAGTACGACGACCCGGCGGCAGAAGCACCAGCCATCCAATACAGGGGCGTTGTTGCACGCAGCATGCATGCATGCGCATGATTGCCATAGCACTGGTGCGCAGCATTGTGTCGTGTGCACTTGCTGTGTTCGCATGCCGCTGCAAGTTCCTTTCAAGTCCTGACGAGTCCCAGCACGGCCGAAAGTCAACACGCACACTGACAAAAGCTGGGCGTCCTTGATTTGTCGTTGCTCTATTTAGCAGTATGCAATGCTGTTATGCTTTGTAAAATTATGCTACAGTATGATATGTTGTGTTGTCGACGGGACGGTATAACGTCGTGACGCCGCTCACTCTAAATACGTCGTCCGATCCATCCTTGCTTTGACTCTTTTTACCTGTGGCCAGGCTGACTTCGGCGCGCACGTCGCATAGCTAAATCGTTGGCGTATGTGCAGCAGTAATACAACACTTATGACATGTTATATACGGTGTGCTCTGTTCGTTATGTTACGCTGGTTAGCTAACATGCCTCGTTTGTTCTCGATGGGTTGGCGTGACGCCGTGACGCCTGTCGAGAGATACGTCGTGCAGCCTGGCACGTCGTGTTTGACTATAGCGTAATACAATATTCATATGTTGTGCTGAAACGCATTATGACGGTATGAAATGATGCCTGCGTTATGTCATGACGTGTTATACCATTGAGTGGAATGTTATGGTATGTTCGATTACGCTTTGTTATGGCGTGACCTGCCCTTGATTGCTTCGATATGTGGTAATGGTATGCTCTGTACGCCCCATGATGTCATTGCACGCGCTGTTATGGTGCATCATGTTACTCCCTATTCAGACATGATCTGAGAGTGGTATGCGTTGGTATGTCATGATGCAATGATATACTACATTACGCGACGAATGAATGTGTTATCCCGCGCTCTGTCATGGTATGATGTGCCATGTTATGGAATGGATGGGCGGTGACGTTGTGTTAGGGTATGATGTGCTATGCCACGGTATGCTACGGAATGAAATGTAATGTCACCGTATGGTGTGTTCTGGTGTCTCCTGTGCTAGTAGGGGGTGTAGTGTGAAGATATGTTACGTGTAATCAGATCCGCAAGAGCTCACGGGGTTTTGGTATGTCATGTCCTGGCACAATGCAACATACGATGCCTCACTCAGCCGTGTTATGATATGTAAGATGTGATGTGGTTGAATGTGTCATGGTATATGTGCTGTGATGCGTCATGTCAAGGTGTGTCATGGCATGGTAATGTGTGTTATGGCGTGTGCTGCCGTGCTATGGTATGGTATGCTGGTATGCTATGCTGCGGTATGGTATGTGTGTTCCGATATTTCAGAGCATGCGCTGGTATGCTGTGCTGTGATAGTATATGATATGTCAAAATATGGCTGTGACATGCCATGGTCTGGTACGTTCAGTGTCGGGATGGTGTCGTGTGTAATGAGTGCTGTGTCGGGTTATGTAATGCTACTTGGTGTGATGATGTGCTATGGTATACACTGCTATATAATGGTGTGTTATCGTACGATGTTGCGTGACAGGATGTGACATATGACGATCGGAAATGTTATGCTATGTGTTGTGGTGTTATGATATGGTCTGCAGTGGCTTATCGTGATGTGATGTGCTGTGTTCTGCTATCATATTATACCACTTTGTAAAATTATGTTTGGGGGCAATCGGGGATACTCGGGGGACCTGGGGATCTGGCGGCCGCGGTATGCAGAGGGGCGCGAAGCGGGACTCTCGGGGATACTCGGAAGCCTGGGGATCTGGCGGCCGCGGTATGCAGAGGGGCGCGAAGTGGGACTCTCGGGGATACTCGGGAGCCTGGGGATCTGGCGGCCGCGGTATGCAGAGAGACGCGAGGCGGGACTCTCGGGGATACTCGGGAGCCTGGGGATCTGGCGCAGAAGGGCGCGATGCGGGACTCTCGGGGACACTCGGGAGTCTGGGATCTAGCGGCCGTCGCATGCAAGCGGGTCGGAAGGTCTGTTCTTAAAATCTAACGACCCTAACCTGTCGGGTGGGGAAAAGCGAAGGAGATGTTTAATGATTCCCAATGACTCACCCGCCACAGTCTTCCCATAATCATGCAGGAAATCCAATGGACCACCATCCGTGGTCAGTGTCCCTGAAAAAACAGGAAGGTCAGCTATGGACCTATAGAAAAGTAGAAAGGTGTGCTTCATGTCAGGTCTTAGTTGATTGCCCGACGTTGTCTCGTCGGACCACACAGGTGTAGGTACCAATCCTTGTTGGATCGGCTTGCGTAGAAGCTGGCCGAAAGCAAAACTTGCTGTCGCACATGAAATGTAAGACTGGCAATGGACAACCGATTGGCAAGTCAAAGTAACCACCAGACTTCAAAAACAAGCGGGTGTTTCACGACGGCTCCGAATACAGAATTTCGATACACGACATACCGCAATAGTTCCTGTGATATGTCGTCAAAAGGGATGTGTTCGCCAAAGCCGCCGTCGCGAAGGTTTCGCGCTATCTTCAATGGAATCGCAAGACCAAGTGTCTGAACAAGGATAATCACGCGTGCCCTCTTCTGCATGATTTGCGCCAGAATGGCAACGCATTCTCAAGCAATCGCTATCACCATCGCCAACACCCTAATTGAGATCGTCCTCACCATCGCACGATTCATACGGTAGCAACAACTTAGTAAAACTTAACAAAGCTTAGCAACACTCAGCAGAACTTAGCGAAACTTGGCAAACCCTTGCAACTCTTAGCAGATTATGCGCAATTGCGCTAAGCAATTGCGACAATTCGTTCCATGTCACATGTAACTGCGCAAGGCACAAGCCGCCGAAAATGGGACCCCCCACCCGACACTTTCTCGCCCAGGCCCGACCGTGATCCCCCACCACGCCCCGACGTCCTTCCTGACCCCTAAGACGACTGTTCTCGGGACCTCCGACCCGACAATATCTCGCCCAGACCCGACCATGTCCCCCCACCATGCCCCGGCATCCTATCCTCTGGGCACTTGACCGCAGCTTCAGTCTAAAAAGACCACCGCCCATCGCCCTCCACAGGCATCCAGGGCCTGAAACAAACCAAACCTTGGGGGGAGAGCCAGCTTCATCCTTCACAATGCTGCAAGCCCCCCAGGACTTCAATACACAAGCGCCTGCCGAAGAACTCTTCCACCCAAAGTCCTCTCGCCGCGCGCCGACACTGTCACACCTCGCCAGCCGCTCGGAGAGGAAGTCTTGGAGGCCTGGGACGGCCGAGCGAGGCCAGATCCACTGGCAACTCCACCGACCACGGTCATCCTGCTGGGTGGCGGCCGCGTCGCTGCTGGGCGCCACGACGCTTAACCACTTGCGCCAGCAGCAGAGACCCTTAAAGCCGAGAAACGAAATCTGATCCTTATCTGTCAGGACCAATGTTCTTGAGACCCCCCCACCCGACAATCTCTCCCCCGGACCAGAACCTGACCCCCACCACGCCCCAGCCTCCTCCTCCTCCTCTTCCTCCTCCTCCTCCTCTTCCTCCTCCTCCTCTTCCTCTTCCTCCTCCTCCTCCTCCTCCTCCTTCTCCTCCTCCTCCTCCTCTTGCTCCTCCTCCTCATCCTCCTCCTCGTCCTCCTGCTCCTCATTCTCCTCCTTGAGCAAGAAGACAGCACCTCAAGCGTCGGTCTCCACCTCCTTGCTCCACCCTCCCGCAGTGGCGGGGCCTCCGCCGCCGGCGCCCAGCAGCGACGCGGCCGCGCTGCACGCGACAGCCGCCGCGAAGGCCGCCGGCAGGGGCGAGGGGGACGAGCGGGCGGAAGGGGGGAAGGAAGAAAGGCAGCAGGAGGAGAGGCAAAAAATCCTGGATCCTGGCTCCTGGATCCTGGCTCCCAAATCCCAATTCCTGGTTCCCGGTTCCCGGTTCCTGGCTCCCGGTTCCCAACTCCCAGCTCCCAATTCCCAGCTCCCGGCCCCCGACTCCCAAATCCCGGTTCCCGCTTCCAGGTTCCCCGTTTCTGGTTCTCGGTTCCTGGTTCCTGGTTCCCGGTTCCCGGCTCCTGATTCCCAGCTCCTGTAGCTCTCAGTTCCCAAGTCCTGGTTCCCGGTTCCTGGTTACGAATTCCGGCTCCTGGCTTCCAATTCCCCGATCCCGGTTCTCGGTTCTGGGTTCCTGGTTCCCGCGGCTCCCGGTTCCCGTTTCCCGTTTCCTGGTTCTTGGTTCTTGGTTCCCCGTTCCGTGGTCCCCGCGGTTCCTGGTTCCCTGTCGTGAGGTTTCGGTTCATGGTCTCTCTCTCTTTGTATGTTTTCTCTCTCCCTCTCTCTCTCTCTCTCTCTCTCTCTCCCTCTCTCTCTCTCTCTCTCTCTCTCTCTCTCTCTCTATATATGTTTGTGTTGCTGGTGTTTCTGACCTAATTCCCTCTGTACAGAAATACATACAAAAAAATATCCCAGTGCGACCCTACCTAGGAGTTGGAGCATTTAGGAAAGCAACATCTACATCCACACCGACAACTACATGTACATCTACACCTGCATCTACATCTACATCAACATCAACAGCGAGACTCACATCTACATCTACATATACACCTACATCTACACCTAGATCTACATCTACATCTACACCTACACCTACACCTACATCCACATGCGATGCTATGCTATGCTGCACTATGCTATGCTATGCTATGCTATGCGCTATGCTATGCTATGCTATGCTATACTGTGCTGCGCTATGATATGCTAGGCTAGGCTATGATATGTTATGTTATGCTGCGCTATGCTGTGCTATGATATGCGATGCTATGCTGTGCTATGTTATGCTGCGCTGCGCTACGCTGAGCAATGCTATGCTATGCTATGATATGCTATGCATAGATGCTATGATATGCTGAGGCATGCTATGCTATGCTATGATTGGCTATGCTATGCTATGCTATGTATGCTATGATGTGTTAATGCTGCGCTGCGCCACGCTGCGCTGTGCTAACCTAAGCTAAGGCAAGCTAAGCTGTGCTAAGCTAAGCTAAGCTAAGCTAGGCTAGGCTAGGCTGAGCTAAGCTAAGCTAAGCCAAGCTAAGCTAAGCTGCGCTAAGCTAAGCTAAGCAAATATGATATAAGCTAAGCTAAGCAAAGCTAGGGTAGGCAAAGCAAAGCTAAGCTAAGCTAAGCTAAGATGATAAGCTAAGCTAAGCTAAGCTAAACTAAGCTTAGCTGGGTGAACCCAGGGGGCGCAACTGGGGGAACCGCGGGGCGGGGACTGGGGAAAACGCCCAGGGCGCTTTCCACTGCCCGGCCCCTTTAAGCTAGAGATTAAGAACCCTTCTAGGCAGAGCCTAGGTAGGGAATATATGAAGATGTGTATATACATATATATATAGAGAGAGAGAGAACGAGAGAAAGAGAAAGAGAGAAGAAAAGAAAGAGAGATACACTACCTCGTCTGTATACTGAACGTATTCAATATGCGCATAGATGTGTGGGCCGCGCTCTCTCTCTCACACTCTCTCCCCCTCTCTCTCTCTCTCTCTCTCTCTTTCCGTCCCTCCCCCTCTCTTGCTCTCTCCCTCTCGGCGTGCTATCTCTCAAAATATGCACATACATCCTCAGATGTGTATGCTATCCCTAGTGTGTACGTGTTTGTGGGTATACGTATATGTATGGTTTTACGTATATTAGATATAAGTACATACACATATGCATGTGTGTGCAATGCATATGTACACATACATGTACAGGTTCGCATATCTTGAATGTGTGGTCATGTCTATGTGTATCGGTATCTCATGTTCTTATGTATACATACATATACACAAACTTAACACTACCGTGTGATTGTGCCTCCCCCTATATATATATATGTATCTAGATGTACGGTGTGTTATGTATTCATGTAAGCATATGTGTATACACAAATGCTTAAGCATATGTATGAATACGTTATACAACATCGTATGCGTATAGACACGGTTAGGTGCCTGAGTCAGAATACGAATCTACTTCGCTGAGCCTAATACGGCAAATAAATGTACGTGTGTAGCCCTGTATGTATCTCTATATATCTATATCTATGTACATATATACATATCCATCTCTTTCTACCTCCCTCCCCCCTTCTACGACGACATGCGTACATACACACATGTATATGTATATGCACATACTTACATACATGTGTACATGCATGCATGCATACATACGCGCATGCATGCATGCACGCACGCATGCATTACATACATACCTATATACATATATGCATTAATACATACATACACACAGGCGGCTAAACAGAAAGACGTAAATACATAAATACATGTATGCGTGTATGCAAGCATGCACACACGCATACACACATAGTGCATGCACACATGCATGCATGTATGCATGCATGCATACATATATACATGCATCTATACATACCTTGACATGCTTGAACGTAGTACGTTTATACGTGTACACAAACTTATATATAGTGTGTATGTGCTGATCTCCCTGAGTCGGGATTCAACTATCACCCTCTCTATGCCTCGCTCTCTCTCTCTGTCGAACTCATTATGTTGGTTGTGTAGATACCCCTCCTCTCGTTATATGTCGACATATATGAACACATAACCTGATAGGGAAACGGGGGCTGAACATAAGCCTTCCAGTCCAACATGCTGCTATGTTACACAGGCCATTCTTGCCAGATGAAGAAGTGACCTACTGTTCGAGTAGTGGTAGTAGAAGTCGTCGTCGTCGTCGCCGTGGTAGTAGTAGTAGTAGTAGTAGTAGTAGTAGTAGTAGTAGTAGTAGTAGTAGTAGTCGTAGTCGTAGTACAAGTAGCAGTAGCAGTAGCAGCAATAGCAGTAGTAGCAGTAGTGGTGGTAGTAGTAGTAGTAGCAGTAGCAGTAGTAGTAGTAGTAGTAGTAGTAGTAGTAGTGGTGGTAGTAGTAGTAGTAGTAAGTAGTAAGTAGTAAGTAGTAAATAGTAAGTAGTAAGCAGTAAGTAGTTAGTAGTGAGTAGTAAGTAATAAGTAGTAAGAAGTAAGTAGTAAGTAGTAAGTAGTAAGTAGTAAGTAGTAAGTAGTAAGTAGTAAGTAGTAAGTAGTAAGTAGTAAGTAGTAAGTAGTAGTAGTAGTAGTAGTAGTAGTAGTAGTAGTCGTCGTAGTAGTAGTAGTGGTGGTAGTAGTAGTAGTAGTAATAGTAGTAGTAGTAGTAGTAGTAGTAGTAGTAAGTAGTAGTAAGTAAAGGTAAGTAGTAGTAATTAGTAGTAAGTAGTAGTAGTAGTAGTAGTCGTAGTAGTAGTAGTAGTAGTAGTAGTAGTAGTAGTCGTAGTAGTAGTAGTGGTGGTAGTAGTAGTAAAAATAGTAGTAGTAGTAGTCGTAGTAGTAGGAGTAAGTAGTAGTAAGTAGTAGTAAGTAGTAGTAAGTAGTAGTAAGTAGTAGTAAGTAGTAAGTAGTAAGTAGTAAGTAGTAAGTAGTAAAGTAGTAAGTAGTAAGTAGTAAGTAGTAAGTAGTAGTAGTAGTAGTAGTAGTAGTAGTAGTAGTAGTAGTAGTAGTAGTAGTAGTAGTAGTAGTAGTAGTAGTGGTGTAGTGTAGCAGTGGTAGTAGTAGCAGTAGTAGTAGTAGTAGTAGTAGTAGTAGTAGTAGTATAGTAGTAGTAGTAGTAGTAGTAGTAGTAGTAGTAGTAGTAGTAGTAGTAGTAGTAGTAGTAGTAGTAGTAGTAGTAGTAGTAGTAGTAGTAGTAGTAGTAGTATAGTAGTAGTAATAGCAGCAGCAGCAGTCGTGTAGTAGCAGGGGGAGGAGGGGAGGGAGGAGGAGGAGGAGAGGGAGGAGGAGGAGGAGGAGGATTGGGCAGGACTGCCACTTGGGTCCACGGAATGACCCCCATTGGCAGACAAGCACGGGGGCGAGGCCGAGGCCCTCCGCTGAGGCGAGGCCGAGGACGAGGACGAGGTGCGGCAGAGGCGAAGCGCGGCGGGCCCTCCTCGCGGGCCGCGCGGGCGCGCCCGCACGCGCGCGAGCCGCGCGCCCTGGAGCATCTCACGCGCGCGGCGCGCGCGCGAGGGAGGGCGCGCGCGCGCGCGGCCCCGGGCCTGCGCCGTCTGTGCGTCGGTGAAGAAGGTGATGGAAGACGGTCAGCCCGTATGACAGGGATTCGCGGTCAGGATGCAGGGGGCCTTGGAAGGCCATGCCGACACGTTACCAGCGGGGCGCGGCCAGCGAAACGGGCCGAGGATGGGCCGAAGGGGAAGGATGCAAGGGTATCCTTGGAAAACTGTTGATTCTTACTATGCGGGTTAACTGTAGGGAAAAGGAAGGCGGAGGAGAAGGAGACGGAGGGCGACGACGAGGCATACTTTGGGAAGGTCGAGGACGAGAAGGGCGACAACGAGGCGATATAAGGGAATTCGGAGAAGGACGATGAGAAGGAGGAGGAGGAGGAGAAAGACGACGACGACGACTAGGCGGAATAGGGGAAGGCGGAGGAGAAGGACGACAAGGCGGAATAGGGGAATGAGGAGAAGGACGAAGAGGAAGAGGCGGAGGAGGGGGGGGGAGGAGGAAGAGAAAGAGGAGGACGACGACCAGGCTGCATAGGGGAAGGCGGAAGAGGAACAGGAGGAGGAAGAATAAGAGGGCGAGGAGGAGGACGACGAGGCGGCATAGGGGAAGACGGGAGGAGGAGGAAGAGGAGGATGAGGACGAGGACGAGGACGAGGACGAGGACGAGGACGAGAACGAGGACGAGGACGAGGACGACGACGACGACGACGACGACAACGACGACGACGACGACGAGGCGGAATAAGGCAAGGCGGAGGAGGAGGAGGAGGGGGAGGAGGAGGTTCGGGGACCACCTCTGCGCCGTCTGCG